TTTAATGCTGGGCCCTTGTCTTCACTGTGTATTTCTGAGAGACCCTGCTTGCTGAATTAACTGTTTGATGTTGTCACCTGATCAGAACTGTGGTGTGTTAATTCAGAATGGCTACTCTCCCTTCCCACCTTTTGAACACTTTCCTTTGAAAGTTCTTACTTGCTATTTGCAAGAGTAGTTCTTGTGAGGAAATATGGTGTCAAATGTAGAGTTCTTTGCAAATGGTCCTATTTCTTTGAATTGAACATGTGAAAATTTATTGGATGTAGTATCCTTTAAATGTACAACAATTTTTTTAAGATTAATTATTGATAGTGTATATTATTATCAGAGAGACCCAAATAAACAGCTTTACTTACTCTTTTTTTCTTTTCACTCAGTTTTTTTTAACTTCAAATTAATGCATGCTTAAGTGTAATATGTGTTTAGTCTCCTAATTAGACAAGTTTTTCTCTCATAAACTACAAGGTTTTACTTTGTTACTTGGCTTCCTTACGTCTGCATATTGTTTTCTTCATTTTTCTTTTCACTACATTCACAGCTGATTTTTACTCCCGCTACCACTGTGGCTGCTGTCCAGTCTGACATTCCAGTTGTCTCATCATCTTCCTCATCTTCTTGTCAATCTGCAGCAACTCAGGTGAGATTGTCTGGATTTCTTGTGTGTCCATTATGCTGAGCTAGACCTTGAAATGAAGCAGGAGAATCTTTATGCTAATGTTTCTGATGTTTATATTAGAATAATAATTTTGTTGCATTTTGAATATGCTCTTTTTAATGTCATGACTTAACACACTGAATATTTGGTTTCTCAGAAAACTCAAATCCTGGACAAGCTGAGTTTTTTACAACATTAATTTTTTTTTCTGTAATAAACTACTTAAAACTTCCCCAACTCATCAAAAATTGTTGTTTTCCATTTTTCTGTCTTTTGTGCAGCAGGTATATTCCTTTGAAGATAATGAGTTGATTGTTTGTTTCTCAGATGTTTTACTTTCATGACATATTAAATTTGGTTTTGTAGTATTGTTCAGTATGTTTAGACTTCTTTAGGAAGGAATATGTCTAATGTAAAGGATTATACAGTTTCCAAATATTAGCTCCATATTTTTCCCTATTGTTGAATGTATATGAAAGTACATGGGGAGCTAAATAGTGGCGTGGTCTTTAGTAGTATCTGTTGATTAAAACCCAAATCAACTTTTATCATCTTCTTGTATTTTAGTTTCTGAACCATCCCCATGTCTGATCAAAGTTGATGGGTTTGAGAGCTGTTTGAAGCTTATTGCAGAGAAGAATCTTTTTATAATGAAATGAGTGTACATGCACACATGTGCAGAAACAACATGAAAAACACTAGGGTTAGAAAATCAAGTATTCAAAAAAAATAGAAAGTGGCCTAATTAAGGTTACCTGTGCCACCTGAATTTGCATCTTCTTGCATACGTTATGGTATAGTCTTTAATTACTATTCGATTATATAACTAATCTTTTTTTCACAGGACTTCTGCCTCATTCAGTGGACAATATAGGTAGTGTTCACACAAAACATGGAAGGGAATGGGACACATTATCAGTGGGTTTTATAGACGTTTGTGCTAAGTGTGAATGTTCAAATTCAGGAATCTTGAGGGTCTAGAAGTGAGCATGCTGTAATTGCACTGACTGCCACTCTTTCCCTCCCTGCTCTGTTTCCCCCCCACATAACTTGACTGTGCTCCGTATCCTTTACCAGTTCTCTGTCTCTGACTTGGTCTTGTTAGCTTTGACTGCTCAACCGTGTCTTCTCATCATATCCCAAATCAAAGTCTTTACTCGTTAACCTTGTTTCCTTCCTTGATTCCCAGTCCCGATCTCTCCAGCCAAAATTTTCCTGTCCCACTTTCCTGTTATTCCTGCTGCTATCTTCCAGTCTTCAGACTTTTGTCCTGTTCTATGCCCACTTTTTTCCTTTTGGCCTTCAAATCTGTCTCCCTCCTACTGTGTGATGTCTGGGCCTACTAAGAATGTCCTGTATTCTCTCTGCTTTTAGACACCAATTTTTTTTATTATTATTATTTTCAGTGGAGGTGTTTCCTTCGCTGTACAGTACCCCTTAGCCATGATGAGAGAGGCCAGGGATTAATAATACCTACTTTTGATTTCAGTTCAGTGTCTCTAAGGGTGGATAAACGCTTGTGGTATTTATTGTTTCAAGATGGGGGGCGGGGGTGTCAAACTCATCCAGCCCCACAGGCTGCATGAGAGTTGCTAGGCCAGATCAGGAACAACCCCTGTGCAGCACCCATACTTCTTGGTACAGCCCATGCACTGTGTGCCATGTGTATCATGGGCCCTGATGCTCAGGGGCACCTTCTATTCCCTTCCCTTCCATTCCCTCCTATCCTTCTCCAGCAGGGTTTGCCTCTGGGTATCTTAAGGGAGAAACTGCCTACCACTGCTGCTGTCCTTGGCTGACTCAAAGTAGAGGAAGACTTAGAGCCACTCCTACCCTATTCCAACTGGGGTTACGGTGAAAGGCTGAATGTGGTGCCAGGCTCAGCCAGGGACAGCTGTGGCAGCAGGTTGGTCCCCCCTCTTCTAGTGCCTGCTCCCTGTTAGGTCACCACCTTCCTCCTTCTCCCACCCTCCCCTGCAGCATCCCCTCTGGGCAGGGAGGAGGTGCTGAAAGGGGGGGGGAATCCCCCCACCAATGCTGTCTTCCCTAGCCTAGCCTGGCACCCTGTCTAACTGCTCCCCGCTGGGTGGGGGAACACAGCATAGCAGATGGAGTTGGGAGCCACTGGCTGTCACGGCTACCAAGCATGGCAATACATGCAGCTGCTCCCACTGGCCCGTGGCTGGAGCAAGGCCTAAGCATCCTGGTGCTTCCTCTGCCCCTGGTCAGTAAGGAGCAGTAGTGGATCCCATTTTCTCATCCTGCTCCTTGCTTAATTCCCTGGGTATCCTCTGCCAGCCTGAGGCTCCAGCCCCACCTTAGATCCCACAGGTGACTTGGGCATCTGCAGTTGAGGGGAACTAGAGCCCCTGTAGGCAAGCTGCACTTCATGGTGAAGAAAATCTTCCATAAATGAACAAAGTAAAATGATGTTGCTTTACCTGTCCTAGTCTGCCAACTGGTTCCAGTGCCTCTGCTACTTGGGGGAGTTTTGCCAGATAGTGTCAGCATGAAATAATAGAACTTTGTCACTTCTGCTGCCACTTTTTTTTAACCTGACAAGACTCGTGTTATTTTCATGCTGCTACTAGTGCTGTTGATGAAAGCCCAGAGCAGGAACTGGTGCAAATGTAGGATTATTATGAAGGTGGAGGATCTGAAATGTGATTGGGAGGTAGTTAAGGTCATAAAGGCCTCTCTTCTCCCACTCTCAATCTCCTGCAATATTCAAATTCTTGTCATGGAGAAGAAGAAGAAAGCCCAAACACTAGAGGAGATTGGGCATTAAAACTTACCTGATGTGTATTAGTCTGAGGATGATGGGAAAGATGATACTGCAGGACATGTCTGTGGATAATACCTTAGTAAGAAATCTGGTACTTTATCCCTTTCCACCAGTTGGTAGCTGGATTTCTTATTGGCATGGCTACTGGATTCATTCCCTACTGCACCAGTCATGTTTATCTTATTTCAGTATGTTAAACCCTTAGGCAAGGAGGTATTTTTTTTAACCTCTGTTGAGGTGCTTAAATAAAAACTTTAAAGCATTGGAGCTGGTATTCTTTTAATTGATGATATTGCCCAGTTAGTGTGACAACCTGTGGAATTCAGTGCAGTTCTAAGGAAAATTGGTTGTATTATTTTTGTTATTCCAGCAGGGTGGTAAGATAGCTGGGTTAAAGTAACATTAGAGAGGAGAGGAGATGGCACTTATTCACAGGTCAGTAAGCAACCAGTCCATCAGTCCACTTTGAGTTGTGTTTCCCACAGTGGCATCATTCTGTTTGTCAAAGTACCTCATTACTTTCTGGAGAATATCCCCCACGCTGCGGCCTTTCTTGGCTGCTTTTTCAGCCAGAAGAGGAAGCTTTTTCAGATCCTCCTCATTTCCATGCATAAATGACAGATTTGGGACATTGAACTGGGAAGCAACCACCCACTGGAGGATGGCCTGAAGCTCTTTGTTTTGTGAGTTGTTGTTGGCATTCTGGTTGGTCACTATCACTTGAGAACCTGAGGGTGAACCTGTAAGTGGGTTACTGTTCTGTTTTGGTAGGGAAGCTAAAATGGGTGTTGCTTGAGCTTTTGCAGATGAGGCATCAAATGCATTGGGTTCCTCTGACAAGTCACCTGTAGCTAAGTCAGTGCCACTTCCTTTGACCACAAAGAGACACAACTTCATTGCAGTTTCCACCAGTTGGTCAATAAATTGCTTGTTGACCTGATCCATGTTGCCAAACTGCTCCATGGCTGAATTAGGATGATTGGCTATGGCCTGTTTGCCAGGCTCCCATTCGCTGGCAGGGGTATGCTTTAAGCTCTTGTTTGTTTCGCTGGAGCTGTCTTCACTATTGAATCCAGCTTCGTGCAAGACCTTCTGTATGATGGACAAGAGGATACTTGATATGTCTCCCATCTGGGAGTTGAGGTGCTGTTGGTAATCGTTCCTTGTCCCTGCCGGCCTCGACCCAGAAGCCTCCGCAAGGGACTTGGAACTTTGGCTGTTCCCAGCCTTTTCAAAATGTGCATCGCGGGAGACATACCCAAATGAAGCGGCACCTGATTCACTACACTCTTTGCCTGTTGTTTTGCTTGTCTGTTGTAATAGGTGCTGTTGTATTAATGTTAAGGAAGTCAAAATGAGGTCTTTTGCTAGGGATTCTGTTGAGTTGCTGGTTGTTTCTGGATTTTTTTCTTGACTCCCTTTTGCCTTATCTGGAGCTGTGCAAGTAGTTTTTGTATACAGCCTTGTGACTCCTTCCTTGAGTGTGTGCTCACTTATTCTCTCAGCACAGGTCTGCATCAGTGGATTACCTTTTTCCTTATTTTTTCCCTCGGTTTGACTTTTCATTGCTGCAAACTGCATGCTTTGAGACTTTGAGTCTGGTGGGAGCCCTGCTTTCAGTATGGTATATGCTAGACTTTGAGTCCTGGACTTCTCTGGCTCTGATAAAAGGACATTATAAAGCCTTCTTACCATAGCTTCCAAAATTTCAGTTGACTTCTGGCTTCCCATACTGAATAGATTTTTCTTCACTGTGGCAACAAAGCCAGAGTCTGTCATGAGCTCACCTGTAACACGATGCAGATTTTTCATTGCTGAATCTATCAAGTCTGATATAACATCTCTGGCGTGTTTGAGAACTACTTTCTTCAAAACCAGGCAAGCTGGAACGTGCTTGTTGCCCGTCTTTTCAACTTTCATGGTCTGCAAGAATGAGAACACCATGTCTGAAGCAACCTTGTTTGCATAAACCATTAGCCCTTTGCTGACAGAAGTACCCGAATCATCTTGCCTGGAGTATTTGTTCTGCTGACACAGTTGCGTATTTGAAGATGTTTCTCCTTCATTGCAGCTTTTTTGACTGGACAGCTCACCATAGAAAAGTGATGTTTTCTTGTCACCTGGATTATCTTGTTTCTTGGTAGCCTTCTCTTGAGGTGCCTTGGGGACTGGTAGCTTTCCGTGGGGGGTTGGTGTA